CTAAAACAGTAGTTTTAATCAACTCACTTTACCCTATATTTGGCAGTTTTGCATATTTGTATCTCTATGGTTAGCTGCTTAATATGATTTAGATCTAATCTTAATGGTTAAAAGACTCATTATGCTCAATCCTTTTGGTATAATACAATTCTTTGGGTTTAGTTCATTAAAGACTTGGAAGATGTAAGTGCTTGAAATTTTTACTAACCTAATGATAGCTGTGATTAATTGGTCTATTATTATGCTATAATTAATAATTAAAAACTAAGTTATTTAGTAGTAGAGGTAGACATTAGGTGCCATCTCTTATCTATGTCTAGTACTAAATTATTTAGTTTCTAATTATTAATTATAGCATAATAATAGCCCAATTAATTATGGCATTCATTTGGCTTAGTATCAACACATCGGGCTTCAGGTTGTTGATATTTATGCTTACAATTTTTTTCACAATCCTTAAAGATTCTTAAATAGTATTTAATTTTTGAGGAAGATGAAGAGTCATGAGTTATTTAGTTTGTTTTCATATCAACGTGGTACCAACTTTTGTGAACTTTTAAGAGAAATTTTCATTTATTTTATTATTACTGAGAATAATATACAGTGTACAAGACTGCATGTCAATTTCTGTTTGATGTCATAACTCTTCAATAACTTAAATTCAAAGGAAACAAAATATTTGATTTTGTTTCCTTTGAATTTAAGTTATTGAGTTTTAAGTTATGAATTTAAGTTATGTAAGTCATAATTTTCTATTACTTTAACATCTTTACAGAAAAATAATAAAATGTTATAAATTTTTTCATCTTAATTAGTCATAAATTCAAAAATTCCATCATAATATTTTAACTTTATTAATAACTAAATATGCAGTTTTGAAAATTATAAATAAATTCTAATGTATAATAATTATAATTTTACTTCATAAAAAAAAATGTTTAACTTGATGTTCTCTAATTTCTAGAGGCCTTATTTTCTTGAAGTTTATTCATTCCCTCAAAATTTAACCAGTTTCCTATGGAAGGTGAATATCATTTCTTTATATATATAATAACTTTTTTAATAAATAAATAAATACAATTTAATTGATTTTATTTTATAGGGAATTGCATCCTTAGGTTATTCACCATGTAATGAGCCATTAATAGAAGATTTATTGAACAGTACTCCTGTATTGATTAGTTCTTTGATTATACACTGGTCAACAATTGGAACAGTTCTGTTAAAAATGATTTCACAGAACAGTTTTCTAGTTGCTTTTCTTGAAAAATTAAAAGAAAATATAAGCTTGAATCCTATGTAAGAAAAACACAATTAAAGTATAGATTAAAAAACCTTAATATTAATTTAAATAACATTAATAATAGTTGATTGTTTTTAATACAGTATTAAAGTGTGTTAAAAATTAATGATGTATTGAACTTTCACAACTATTAATATAATTATTTCAAACTATAAAATTGAAAACTAAATAATATGTTATTTTATTAAGAAATTATTAAGATGATAACATAAAATGAATCATAATCTAATTCTAATGTGTAAGTGTATTAGACAAAACACTGCATAACAATCAGAAATTAATTTAACAGCAAATTGTCATCATATACTACTAAATGTAAAGTTTTATTTAAATAATAGAATAATTTATTTAATTTTATAAAGTGGAGCACTATTTATATTTTTAACATCTATATGTTGTTCATCATTTATACATAATTTCTTTTATGATAAATATAGCTACTGTAATATGCTTTTAGAAAGCATGCTCAGAATTTCTAGGACACATTCTTTGTTCTATTCTTGCATATCTCTCTTCACATTCCCAAAATTAAATGGCATAAAATTGACCCCATCAAATGGATTGGCTCTCAGAAAGATACCAGAAGTAGATTATTGACTAATTATACATAATTACAAGAAAGGGAAGACTACACATTTGTAATTGCTTGTAAATCAAAAGAGTCTATAAACAAATACATTTCTCTACAAAACAAATTTATTTCAGAAATTATTCCAGCATACAATTATAACATAGAATATGCATTAAGAACTGTTCTAAAATTTAAATTTTGATGAACAAAATACTACTTGTTAAGAGTAAGCATTTGAGAATGTCAATAGGCATAAGTCATTTTGGATATACAGTGGAACCTCACTTAACGAGCACCTTGCATAATGAGTATTTCGCATAACGAGCAAAATAAATTGTAAAAATTTGATTCGCTTAACGAGCGATGTTTTGCATAACGAGTGACAAGGAGAGGGGAAATCCTGGATTGTGCGCATGCTCCATCAGTCTGTGTTTAGCACTCGTTCCATTAGCATCTTAGTGTTGCTCATGATCACACATTTTTCCAAACTTGTGTTCACATATATTATGTATAAACATTGACAATCATAGCCCATTATATAATAAACACACCATCTTGTACTAAATTTAATGACTAATTCCAAATTAAATTTTAGAAATGTCTAAATTAAAAATTAATTATATATAATTATTAAATTTAATACGAGATGGCAACATAACTGCCTACCTCTAGTCAAATTAATTCATTTCTAATATTTAATTATATCCTTTACATAGCCCAAGAATTTAGCATATCATTTGGCATGTTCATCAGACATTATCTGTGATTTTTTGTTTTCTTCAAATCAAATTTGCATTTCAGGTTGGTTCATTCCATGCTAGAAGAAAAGATGATGATGATTCATACTTCTTAACAATGTATATTGTGTAATTTTTTTTGAATAAACGTTACACATAAAATATTTAAGTATTTTTTTTTTGGCGTGGAATGCATTATTGTATTTTACATTAATTTCTGTAGGAAAAACTGTTTCGCTTAATGAATGTTTCGCATTACGAGTAAGATTCTGGAATTAATTATGCTCGTTAAGCAAGGTTCCACTGTATTGCTGTTAATTAGGTACATGAATCAATGGCATATCCAGGATTTTGAGAATATGGGTGCTGCTCAAAGATTGACAGGAGACCAAAGCAGATGTCTCCTGTCATTTTTCAGAGAATGTTATTCCATAATTTTAGAATTACCTTAGTTGTCCAACTTTTTAAAATTAAATATATGATGGGAAATGGATAATATTGAATTAATAGATTGATTATATAAATTATACAAATTATGGTATGATTCTAAAGTAAGAATAGAAAGATACAAAATCATTACTTTTCTTATTTTCATTAGAAATTATCAAAATTACTTATTTTGAATTTATTTGTAATTATCTTTAGTCTAAGTCTACACTTTTTAATATGTGTTTCTGAGAAATAACGGTTTACTTTCTGTTTGTACACAATTACTTTCTGCTATTGAAATCATGTGATAGGTATTTTAATTTTAAAGTAACAAAGCTGATTGCTTTGGTATGAAGATGGTGATGAGTACCATAAGCACCACTCCTGGATTTGTCATTGACATGAATTATGTCTATTTAACCACTGACCACTGCAATATTATATATGATATTGCAGTGGTCAAAAGCCTGAAGAAGACCATGATTATGGTCGAAAACATTAGTTTTAACTAAAATTTGTTCTTACTGGAATATAAAAAGGATCTAGTGTGCTAAAAATATATTGTATGCATAATAAAAATATAAAACATAAACACTAAAATAATTGTTAAAAGATGTAATAATGAATTTGTCATAAACTGTTAGTTATTCTGCCAGCTTGTGGAGCATCTAGACTTAAATTTTTATGGATCTTTTGATTCATCTTTTGAGAGATGTATAAATGGTACTCCACTATAATCAATTTATTGATAAACTTGTAAGTTCTATTGATGTCTTATTCTTTTCGTAAAAATTTATATAGTCATATAGGATAATGATAAGAATTATCTATTCACTTTAGCAACCTATGTCAATAATTAAATTCAAAATGATTTTGTTATAATTTTTGATGACTAAAAATAAAAAATATGTCAGATTGTGCATAAGCATATATATATATTTTTTATTTTATTCATATTAGTTAATTATTTAAATAATTTGAATTTCAGGTGTGAAAATGTTTTTTCTGGGAAAAGTAAAAAATGGATCACTAGTTTGGCATTTGCTAAACAGTTGAATTCATCCTTGGAAACAGTCAATATACCTTTAATGAATGACTTAGAGGTAGTTATTATTTCTTTTTTTTTTAATTTGAAATATATGAATTTTAATTCATCATTATTTTTTAGATATTGCGTGTGACATTATATTTTATGATAGCCAAAATAGCCACAGATATATTAAACAATGAAGTAAGTTTTTTATTAAAACTCATTTTATCTTTTGTTATATATTCTCATTTATTATGCTACAGTGAAAATTTTATGTTTTTTATATTTTTATATAAAATTTTAATTTCTTTTTACAGGCAGAAGATCTGTATTTTAGGATACATCCTGCAACTTTAGAAATAATGAAATATTTGTTAACAGCTAAAGATACCTTTGAATGCTTAAAGCCACAAAATTATAAAAAAACTATATTGAAAGATATCCTTTTGCCCTCCACATTGCATTTATTTTCATCTGGTTGTCTTCTGTAAGATATATTTTTATTTATTTAATGATATTGTGGATGTTTTGTTTAAAATTTAATTATAATTAAACCATAATTAATTTTAGTGTTTGTCTTCACTTCTGGAAATGCCACACCTTTCAAATTATTCAAGACAATAATAAATGTGCGTCATTGATAATAGTCATACTTGCAAATTTGAATGACTTCCTAAAAGTGACAGATTATTTTTATGGCACAAATTCTGCTAATGATGATGAAGTGAGATTTTTAAATTAATAAATATTTTATTTTATTCAACTCATATAATATTCTATTAATAATTCTTTTAGAACATCCGTATCAATGATTTACATTTTGTTGTTAAGCTAACTAATGATGTTAAATCCATTGTTTCCACACTTCCTTCTTCTGTAACAAAACTAATTCCTAAGGTAAGAACTTCCCAATTTTATTTTTTGATGCATAAAAACCTTTTCATTTTTAACTAAAATTTATTTTCAGGATGTGATGTATCAATATGAATTGGATCTTGCATATAAATGATGGAAATTATATCATAAGTAAAAATAATTTGTATAAAAATTGTATAAATTAATCAAACTTGTATTTTATTTTTAATATATTGTAAATAATATCTGAAAGAAATCTATATACAAAACTGATAAATTAATAGTTATTTAGCAAAATTATATCAGAATTTGTTTCAATAAAACTCCAAAATATCAGATGACCTTATTAGTAGATAAAAAAAAATTCCTATGGTAGTTGCTAATCAATTTAAATACATAAAACTATAAAGTGCAATAAAATACACAACAAACCACTTTAATGGATTTGGAAGCTACAGTATAAAATGGTTAGAAATACATTAGGAGAAATATACATTATTGATATAACACATTGCTTTATATTTCCTGCAAATGCTAAGCAATTTTACTATTACAATGTAGTGCACTTTGCTCNATTCATTATATCGATATTAAATTAATAATTTTTTTTGAGTTAAATGTCAATTAATGCATTTTTTTATTAATTAATTTAATTTAAATTCAATTACAATATGTATGATAAATGGAAATAGTATCTTAACCACAAGTGCATTGAAATCTAATTTAAATAACAGTGTTTTTGATGGTTTGTGTCATGCCGTCTAATGATGAGGCGATTTTGGTACCACTAACTTCTAAATTGGTAGTCTCGTCATTGATTGGTCAGGCCATCAACTTTTTTAACACAGGAAGTATAGGGTGTTCACTGTCTGTCTCTCTCTAATCTGTGGTTGGCTCTAGCTGAGTAGCTTGTTTTGCAACTGAGATATCATACAGCAACCAGGGTAAATATGGTGTTCAAAATTTTGTTAAATCAAATTGTTCAAAAAATGAGGTGTTCCAAAACCCAAGGTTTGACTGTATTTTAAAAATATTTCAATAAGAATATATATTGATTAAAATAAACTATGATTTTTTAAATGTTGAAATAAAATCATTATTATATGAATGGAACAGTAATATATAAATATATGACACTGTTATGCAAAATAATTCATTTAATTTTCTCATGTAAAAATTTACTAATGAAATCAAACTATTGTGAAATGTCAATGTTATCTTATATCTTTTTTCTATTAAAAAAATTTTTGTTTTTTATTCATGAAATAAAAAAAAAACATATTTTTTGGCAACCAAATATTTTCACCTTAATCAAATTTCTGTTTCAAATAAAACTGTCATTTTTGAACTAGAATTTGAATCTATAATTTGGAAAACTATAGAAAAACTTTGCAGTTAAATTTACTATTGGTATAAATTATTTGATAAAAATTACACTAATTTACTTGATCTGTTTAAATTTTAACTTGTCAGATAAAAAAAAAAATTGAAAAATTTGATGTTAATTTAATTATTAAGACAAAATTATTAAATGAGTTAAATTATGTAGGTTAGTTGCAGATTTTCTACTACTACTACTACTACTACTACTAGGGTTATAATCAAATGCACATCCTTCTTGATGATTTGGGATGGAAATGTATTTTCATTATTAGTTTAAGCAATTTGTTTTCATTTTGGATCATATTCATCTATAATATAAAATTGGGACAGTTAATTATGCTAAACATATACAGGGTGTATCAGAATGACGTTTTAAAAATTTGGGGGATTGTAGAAGATGAAATTTTGAACGTTTTGATATAAGGAACCTATAGCCGGAAATTTCACTAAAGTGTCTACAGCAGTAGGAAGTGCTTGGCCACCCTTCACTTTTGTAGCTACCCTTCCGTCCATTGATGTCATGTTATTGCTGCATATGGAAGACTGTAAACACACAACTACAGTGGTCTAACTGAGTCTGTGTACATGACGGTGTGTACTTAGTGCTTGTCGTCCTTCAGGTCACCCCTTGCATTCACTGGTGCTGTGCTGTAAACACACAGCTAGTCAACACGAGTCCCTTGTGTACACGACACTTGTAGGAACAGTTCATAAGCTTATGGAGCGCATCTTTACAGCATTTAATACCATCAGAGGGAAGCGTGGCATCTTACAGAGAGCTGGACAAAACATGGTTCAATGTAACGAAGTTGGTGGTCATCACATTGAACATTTACTCTAAAGTAGTGCAGCCATAGATTCGATGTACAGTTTGATTATACTCTACTGTTTTGTCAATAAAACTTGTCATAAATACTGTATTCTGCTGTTTCATTCAGTATACTGACCGCATAGAATGTGCAAAGTGCTGTAGAAACTTTATATCTCATTTCTGGCTATAGGTTCCTCATATCAAAACGTTCAAAATTTCATCCTCTACAATCCCCCAAATTTTTAAAATGTCATTCTGATACACCCTGTATATATATATATAATTTATGAGAGATTATATATATCATAAATTTATTAAAAATAAATAAAAATTTTTCAGGAATTAAGTTTATCTTTAACTGTGCCAGAAAATAAAGAATTACCATGGCTACTTCAAGAATTTAAAGCAATAACTGAAGAAAAAAGTGCTTCTAGCTATGTATCAATTAGCATCCAACATCAATTAACTACATATTTTAGGTAATTTTGTTGTAATACAATAAAAGTTTTCTATATTTTTAGTTCATTTATTATTTTGTTATTAAATATTATTATACCATTTTGTAAGAACAAAAATTTTAAAAATCCAAGATGAAATATATTTTAAAATTACAAAAATGAATACTATTACAAAAACATGAAGTCTTTTTCATGATCATGTCAACTGGAAGAAATTAATGTAAGTAACCAATGTGAAAGAATCTTTTAAACAGCATGTGAAGGAAGTGTGATGTGTTCTGATGCTTGAAATGGAAGTGTGAAAGACATCAAAATGTTTTTGTATTAGTCTTCATTTTTGTAATTTTACATTAATTATTATTAATTAAACAAACATTTAGTTAAGAATATATTGTCGTGTAGATGGGAGGTGAACAACAGTAATGAATCGTTTGTAAACACAAAAGGATTCTTTATTAATCCACAGAGCATACTACCTCTGCAGTTTGCAGTACCAGAACTAACTCTTAGTCTGCTAGATCGGGCTTTTATCGCTTGAGGGGACATTCCCGAAATATTCAAATGACAGTTAATTAATCAAGAACCTTCTCAAAACTTTGAGAAAGTGAACATAAAAGAGCAAAATCAATTTACCATTGAGTGGGTTCGAACCGGAGACCTTCTGATTTGTAGACCAAGACAATAACCACTACACCATGGTGATTGATGGTTGAAAATGAAATGTGGCATTATTAATATTGTTTTAAAATTTTTTAATTTTTTGTATAATGCAAAATTTTACATTAATATTATGAAATTTATAATTTAGAATCGTAACTCTTCTTCCACCATATTTATTTTATTCCAACAAAAAAGAAGTGATTAATGAATATTCTTTGAATACTTTGAAAGAAATAATTCAAAATATTTTGGTGAGTGAAAACAATATTTGATAATTTTTTTTGTTTTACTATCTTATATTTATCTGATCAAACTGATTATTAAAATATAATTTTAATATTTTAGTTTACTATATTTATGTAAATTAATTGTATGTACAGTACATTCATATATTGTATGTACATTTAAAAAATGTACATACAATATATGAAAATTTTATATTTTGATAGATAATGAATGAGTAAATTTATATTTATATATTTAATATATTTAAATAACTAATTATATCTTATTTAAAAAATTTATATTAAAATAAAAACCTTTAATTTAGCTTAATAACTAAAACAGTAGTTTTAATCAACTCACTTTACCCTATATTTGGCAGTTTTGCATATTTGTATCTCTATGGTTAGCTGCTTAATATGATTTAGATCTAATCTTAATGGTTAAAAGACTCATTATGCTCAATCCTTTTGGTATAATACAATTCTTTGGGTTTAGTTCATTAAAGACTTGGAAGATGTAAGTGCTTGAAATTTTTACTAACCTAATGATAGCTGTGATTAATTGGTCTATTATTATGCTATAATTAATAATTAAAAACTAAGTTATTTAGTAGTAGAGGTAGACATTAGGTGCCATCTCTTATCTATGTCTAGTACTAAATTATTTAGTTTCTAATTATTAATTATAGCATAATAATAGCCCAATTAATTATGGCATTCATTTGGCTTAGTATCAACACATCGGGCTTCAGGTTGTTGATATTTATGCTTACAATTTTTTTCACAATCCTTAAAGATTCTTAAATAGTATTTAATTTTTGAGGAAGATGAAGAGTCATGAGTTATTTAGTTTGTTTTCATATCAACGTGGTACCAACTTTTGTGAACTTTTAAGAGAAATTTTCATTTATTTTATTATTACTGAGAATAATATACAGTGTACAAGACTGCATGTCAATTTCTGTTTGATGTCATAACTCTTCAATAACTTAAATTCAAAGGAAACAAAATCAAATATTTTGTTTTATGTAAGTCATAATTTTCTATTACTTTAACATCTTTACAGAAAAATAATAAAATGTTATAAATTTTTTCATCTTAATTAGTCATAAATTCAAAAATTCCATCATAATATTTTAACTTTATTAATAACTAAATATGCAGTTTTGAAAATTATAAATAAATTCTAATGTATAATAATTATAATTTTACTTCATAAAAAAAAATGTTTAACTTGATGTTCTCTAATTTCTAGAGGCCTTATTTTCTTGAAGTTTATTCATTCCCTCAAAATTTAACCAGTTTCCTATGGAAGGTGAATATCATTTCTTTATATATATAATAACTTTTTTAATAAATAAATAAATACAATTTAATTGATTTTATTTTATAGGGAATTGCATCCTTAGGTTATTCACCATGTAATGAGCCATTAATAGAAGATTTATTGAACAGTACTCCTGTATTGATTAGTTCTTTGATTATACACTGGTCAACAATTGGAACAGTTCTGTTAAAAATGATTTCACAGAACAGTTTTCTAGTTGCTTTTCTTGAAAAATTAAAAGAAAATATAAGCTTGAATCCTATGTAAGAAAAACACAATTAAAGTATAGATTAAAAAACCTTAATATTAATTTAAATAACATTAATAATAGTTGATTGTTTTTAATACAGTATTAAAGTGTGTTAAAAATTAATGATGTATTGAACTTTCACAACTATTAATATAATTATTTCAAACTATAAAATTGAAAACTAAATAATATGTTATTTTATTAAGAAATTATTAAGATGATAACATAAAATGAATCATAATCTAATTCTAATGTGTAAGTGTATTAGACAAAACACTGCATAACAATCAGAAATTAATTTAACAGCAAATTGTCATCATATACTACTAAATGTAAAGTTTTATTTAAATAATAGAATAATTTATTTAATTTTATAAAGTGGAGCACTATTTATATTTTTAACATCTATATGTTGTTCATCATTTATACATAATTTCTTTTATGATAAATATAGCTACTGTAATATGCTTTTAGAAAGCATGCTCAGAATTTCTAGGACACATTCTTTGTTCTATTCTTGCATATCTCTCTTCACATTCCCAAAATTAAATGGCATAAAATTGACCCCATCAAATGGATTGGCTCTCAGAAAGATACCAGAAGTAGATTATTGACTAATTATACATAATTACAAGAAAGGGAAGACTACACATTTGTAATTGCTTGTAAATCAAAAGAGTCTATAAACAAATACATTTCTCTACAAAACAAATTTATTTCAGAAATTATTCCAGCATACAATTATAACATAGAATATGCATTAAGAACTGTTCTAAAATTTAAATTTTGATGAACAAAATACTACTTGTTAAGAGTAAGCATTTGAGAATGTCAATAGGCATAAGTCATTTTGGATATACAGTGGAACCTCACTTAACGAGCACCTTGCATAATGAGTATTTCGCATAACGAGCAAAATAAATTGTAAAAATTTGATTCGCTTAACGAGCGATGTTTTGCATAACGAGTGACAAGGAGAGGGGAAATCCTGGATTGTGCGCATGCTCCATCAGTCTGTGTTTAGCACTCGTTCCATTAGCATCTTAGTGTTGCTCATGATCACACATTTTTCCAAACTTGTGTTCACATATATTATGTATAAACATTGACAATCATAGCCCATTATATAATAAACACACCATCTTGTACTAAATTTAATGACTAATTCCAAATTAAATTTTAGAAATGTCTAAATTAAAAATTAATTATATATAATTATTAAATTTAATACGAGATGGCAACATAACTGCCTACCTCTAGTCAAATTAATTCATTTCTAATATTTAATTATATCCTTTACATAGCCCAAGAATTTAGCATATCATTTGGCGTCTTCATCAGACATTATCTGTGATTTTTTGTTTTCTTCAAATCAAATTTGCATTTCAGGTTGGTTCATTCCATGCTAGAAGAAAAGATGATGATGATTCATACTTCTTAACAATGTATATTGTGTAATTTTTTTTGAATAAACGTTACACATAAAATATTTAAGTATTTTTTTTTTGGCGTGGAATGCATTATTGTATTTTACATTAATTTCTGTAGGAAAAACTGTTTCGCTTAATGAATGTTTCGCATTACAAGTAAGATTCTGGAATTAATTATGCTCGTTAAGCAAGGTTCCACTGTATTGCTGTTAATTAGGTACATGAATCAATGGCATATCCAGGATTTTGAGAATATGGGTGCTGCTCAAAGATTGACAGGAGACCAAAGCAGATGTCTCCTGTCATTTTTCAGAGAATGTTATTCCATAATTTTAGAATTACCTTAGTTGTCCAACTTTTTAAAATTAAATATATGATGGGAAATGGATAATATTGAATTGATAGATTGATTATATAAATTATACAAATTATGGTATGATTCTAAAGTAAGAATAGAAAGATACAAAATCATTACTTTTCTTATTTTCATTAGAAATTATCAAAATTACTTATTTTGAATTTATTTGTAATTATCTTTAGTCTAAGTCTACACTTTTTAATATGTGTTTCTGAGAAATAACGGTTTACTTTCTGTTTGTACACAATTACTTTCTGCTATTGAAATCATGTGATAGGTATTTTAATTTTAAAGTAACAAAGCTGATTGCTTTGGTATGAAGATGGTGATGAGTACCATAAGCACCACTCCTGGATTTGTCATTGACATGAATTATGTCTATTTAACCACTGACCACTGCAATATTATATATGATATTGCAGTGGTCAAAAGCCTGAAGAAGACCATGATTATGGTCAAAAACATTAGTTTTAACTAAAATTTGTTCTTACTGGAATATAAAAAGGATCTAGTGTGCTAAAAATATATTGTATGCATAATAAAAATATAAAACATAAACACTAAAATAATTGTTAAAAGATGTAATAATGAATTTGTCATAAACTGTTAGTTATTCTGCCAGCTTGTGGAGCATCTAGACTTAAATTTTTATGGATCTTTTGATTCATCTTTTGAGAGATGTATAAATGGTACTCCACTATAATCAATTTATTGATAAACTTGTAAGTTCTATTGATGTCTTATTCTTTTCGTAAAAATTTATATAGTCATATAGGATAATGATAAGAATTATCTATTCACTTTAGCAACCTATGTCAATAATTAAATTCAAAATGATTTTGTTATAATTTTTGATGACTAAAAATAAAAAATATGTCAGATTGTGCATAAGCATATATATATATTTTTTATTTTATTCATATTAGTTAATTATTTAAATAATTTGAATTTCAGGTGTGAAAATGTTTTTTCTGGGAAAAGTAAAAAATGGATCACTAGTTTGGCATTTGCTAAACAGTTGAATTCATCCTTGGAAACAGTCAATATACCTTTAATGAATGACTTAGAGGTAGTTATTATTTCTTTTTTTTTTAATTTGAAATATATGAATTTTAATTCATCATTATTTTTTAGATATTGCGTGTGACATTATATTTTATGATAGCCAAAATAGCCACAGATATATTAAACAATGAAGTAAGTTTTTTATTAAAACTCATTTTATCTTTTGTTATATATTCTCATTTATTATGCTACAGTGAAAATTTTATGTTTTTTATATTTTTATATAAAATTTTAATTTCTTTTTACAGGCAGAAGATCTGTATTTTAGGATACATCCTGCAACTTTAGAAATAATGAAATATTTGTTAACAGCTAAAGATACCTTTGAATGCTTAAAGCCACAAAATTATAAAAAAACTATATTGAAAGATATCCTTTTGCCCTCCACATTGCATTTATTTTCATCTGGTTGTCTTCTGTAAGATATATTTTTATTTATTTAATGATATTGTGGATGTTTTGTTTAAAATTTAATTATAATTAAACCATAATTAATTTTAGTGTTTGTCTTCACTTCTGGAAATGCCACACCTTTCAAATTATTCAAGACAATAATAAATGTGCGTCATTGATAATAGTCATACTTGCAAATTTGAATGACTTCCTAAAAGTGACAGATTATTTTTATGGCACAAATTCTGCTAATGATGATGAAGTGAGATTTTTAAATTAATAAATATTTTATTTTATTCAACTCATATAATATTCTATTAATAATTCTTTTAGAACATCCGTATCAATGATTTACATTTTGTTGTTAAGCTAACTAATGATGTTAAATCCATTGTTTCCACACTTCCTTCTTCTGTAACAAAACTAATTCCTAAGGTAAGAACTTCCCAATTTTATTTTTTGATGCATAAAAACCTTTTCATTTTTAACTAAAATTTATTTTCAGGATGTGATGTATCAATATGAATTGGATCTTGCATATAAATGATGGAAATTATATCATAAGTAAAAATAATTTGTATAAAAATTGTATAAATTAATCAAACTTGTATTTTATTTTTAATATATTGTAAATAATATCTGAAAGAAATCTATATACAAAACTGATAAATTAATAGTTATTTAGCAAAATTATATCAGAATTTGTTTCAATAAAACTCCAAAATATCAGATGACCTTATTAGTAGATAAAAAAAAATTCCTATGGTAGTTGCTAATCAATTTAAATACATAAAACTATAAAGTGCAATAAAATACACAACAAACCACTTTAATGGATTTGGAAGCTACAGTATAAAATGGTTAGAAATACATTAGGAGAAATATACATTATTGATATAACACATTGCTTTATATTTCCTGCAAATGCTAAGCAATTTTACTATTACAATGTAGTGCACTTTGCTCCAATTCCTTCCAAAGACACAAGATTGCACCCAGTTTTAACATACTGGAGCTTGCCAATATTTTCATATTGCCAGATTGCCAGATTGCCTGACTGGAAGAGGAAGGTTACCCTCAACAGGAGGACACTAGGGGTTAGATATACTATATAAGGCAATCCTACATTTAAACAAAATTTTTTCTTCTTCATGCAAGTAGAAAAATACTCAATGAGGTATGAAAAAACAAAAGAATCCTTTCCACTTTCTCTTACAAATGAAGTGAAATAATAAAGGAATGGACTATCTTGAAACAGAAAGTATGAACATTCACATTTCATTGGGGATACTAAGGCAGGTTAATTTTGAATGATTTTACAGAATCACCCATTTATTGATATTGGTTTGATGATCTGTTTCCCATATCATTGGATCTTTGGATGAGGTTGCAACCTCACTTTGACATCATAGGAGAGGCTGAAAGTGTTAACTAAACAAACATGACTGATGGTAATGGTAGTGGGATATAAATTGAAGTGTTATGGCGAGGTTTAAATCTACTGTAAGAGAAAAGTCTACCCATAAAGTATTCTCTTAAGCTATATTGCATTTCCTTAAAGGAACAAAATTCCTTTAAGAAAATGCACGAAAATATTCAAATAATTTACATAACACTTATTATATAATCAAGATGGGTTGATAATGATAATAATAATAAGCGCAGAGCCGAAACGGTTAGGTGTTGAAAATTGAAATTTGGTACAGTTAAGGTACGTCATGAGAACATACACTAATAAGGGATTTTTCTAAATCCCCCGTGGAGGAGAGGAAAAGAATAAACCATTTCCGCGAAGAATTCAGCTTCTATTATACTATTTTAGATGCGGTATTTTGCATTTTAATAGGGTATGCCATGAGAATGCACATTATGAAGAGATTATTCGAAATTGCCACTGCGGGGGGGAGAGAGGAATTTAAGGATTACCCCGAAGAACTTGGCTTCTACTGTACTATTTTAGATGTCTTTTTTGCATTTATGTGGGAAATCGAACATATTCTTAGACCCTTCTAAAAATTCTCAACGATATTTAGTGTTCCATCATATATAAAGTTGACATGGGGAGCGCATGCTTATAAATTCACTTAATTCGAACTCTTCTTCTTAATGTTCGAATTTATATTTATGAAGATTCTGGAAGATCCAGCTTATTTTTCGAATTTATTAAACCTGAAGAAGAATCCAGAAAGAGTTACGAAAACGTTTATTATTTATCACTTAATGGTACCACATACAGTACAGTACTGGTTAGTGGTTGCACTGAGTCTTATTTATCGCTATCCCTGTGTGGTAAGCAGATATCTAAAAATTCTCTAATTAGTTTCGGAAGAGGGAGGAATTTAATTCTTGCACTCGGTGAAAACGGGTAAGATTGGTTATACAGTAATCTAATATTTAATCTTTGCTATCGTTACTTTTTGTCCGAGCAATGCCGAGCTCATCTGCTAGTATTAAATAAAGTGACTTACACGCAATACGAATTCACTGAAAATGGCTTCCTTCCATAGTAATTTGTTGTTAATTGGCTAATGTCGACTTCCAAATAATTCATTTCAGTTTTATTTCCTTTACTAAAATACGGTGTTTCTGTCTTTCCCTTTTCCCTCTATTATTCTGCAATTTCTCAGCTTTTTCTTCCGTTATTTCTTCTAAAACTAGAAAAAATTTCAGTATTTTTCTTGGAAACTGCCAGCGATACAAAAATGGCACCTGGATTCCGCCCAGCAACAATGGAGTTTGTATTGTCTATTTGGTAACAATCGCCGATAAAGCTGGAATCTAATTGTTTTCGTCGATGACGTCATGTTATTTATAAGGTCTTCTGTCTTGCAAATTTTGTAAAAAAATTACTCGAATATCAAGGAAAGTATTGAAAATAAAATTTTTAGGGGTTTAGGATGGACTTTAAAGTTTATCAAGTTTAAGTCCATATCTTTTTTATTAATATTAGGCGAATCACTTAATAAAACATTAACACCTTATATCGCTGAGAATACTTTATTCAATCACAAACGTTTTCAGCCTAATGGATAGGCCATCATCGGGTGAACTGTCAATCGAACGTATTTCAAACTTGTAGCAAATGGAATGTTCGATCATTATAAATTCAAAATTAAAACGAAAAATATAGTAGTAAATCAATAACCAAAATAAAAAATATACTAAATCTTTCTCTGTTATTTTAAAAAAAGACATATCAAATATATTTATTAAACGAAGTTTGGTTTAAAATTTTAGTAAATTTCGTCATATTAATGACCCTTCAGTACCATAGTAGACACCAAATCAGTGATATAAGAGAGGCGCGATTACTCGTTTAAACAACAGTAAATTGAAAAGCCCTAAATTATATACTTAACACCAGGCCCTAAACTGTGCCTTATAAAGCCCTCTATTGCGGACAGCAATACAGGAAGACACAAAAATCGTAAAGTCGCAATCTTTACATTTAATCTAATTAGGCCTAATTATATATTGTAGATTGAAGTTTTTCTTTAAAGCCTTTAATTACTAAAACGAATTTCTTATTCAAATAAATAGTAATGAAATGTAAAATATCTCTTACCCTGGAGGATGGGGCATGGGTCGATACTCTCCACCATCAAAAAACATCTTCAAATCGCTTTCCAAATCGCACTCTTCGCAACAAGAGCAAAACAATGCAACAACTACTACTACTTCAATTGTTGAATTCGTTTGTTACGCGTTAAACCAAGAAGAGGGAATTTAATGAACAATTTTGGATTTTTTAAATTATAATTTCAGAATCTGGCACATGTATAATAACAATTAAAAAGCCACGTCACACTGGTGTGGAGATGGGGAATGGTTAGAATAGGAACAGTTTGAAAAATGCACATGGTGGTGGAACAAAATACAAACGTGTAAATATAAACATTTTGCATTAACCAAGACCGTGCACGGAAATATAAAACGAAATTAAAGCAAATACTTGATATTTATACCGTAATATCGGGAGAGATGATTATTTAATGGCCATTTCTAGAAATGAAGAGCGCTTCGGGTTATATATTCATATTGTGTTGTATATATAACTAATTGTAGATCATTTTTTTAGTGTAATCTTTTATACGTTGCTATATTTATTTTAATTTGACAGATTTTTATCAGAATTTCATTTGATTAAAACAACATAATTGGATTTTTCGGCATCGATTTCAGTTTAGTGAATTAATTGAATACAACGAATATCCAGTTTTACTCCCTGTTTGTTATTCTGTCAAGCAATCAGGGTTAGTTTCTGGAAATCAAAAAACTATCACAAAATGGGTGTCGCCTTGACACAGCTCTGTGGCTTAACATGGGAAAATTTTATCAAGTTTTACACACAAGATTTTCCACAGACTAAGTAAACCCAACAGAAGTATTTCAAAATTTTTCTCACTGATAACCGGAGAGACTTAAGTGTATAATTTGAGCTTTCTAGACTTGTTAGATCATCCTTTAGCACAGTGGTTCTTAACCTTTTTAGTGGTCAGCACCACCTTAAAGAATGTGTATATTTTTTTATTTTAGGAAAAACATTTATTGCATAAACAAATGCCGTGTTTATTTACAATATATATTACTATATAACATAGCCATTAAAATTTAAATATTGCTTTTTATGTTGTTGTTGTTTATTCATAATAATTCTATTAAAACAAGGCTATTTTTTTGAAAGAGCCAAGTGTAAGTCATCAGATGCATTTAAGCAATTTTTGGCTTTTTTTTTTTTGATGTGCCAAAGTGCTGTATTCAAGGTATGCAAACACGTCTCAACTAGTTTCTGTACTGCATGTGACAATGTGACTACGTTAACTGCATGTACTGATGACTAATGACAAGTGCTGCGAGACTGTAGAAGTGGGAGTGCCATGTTGCTGAGTACCACAGCTTGTAGAGAACACGGTCGCCTCGTTTGTATTTTTTATTTTTTTCAAATTTTTGAAATTTCTCTTGCACCCCAGGTTAAGAACCGCTGCTTTAGCAGATACTGCAGTGCCGAACGAACAATAAGAACAGTCTTTTGGAGATTTTTGCACTTTTCAATTGATTATATGTCGACAACTTCTTTATAAACAAATCTGAAACTTTGCACACTATCTAAGAAAGCAATTATCTAACTTTCTTTCGGACTTTTCAGAATTACTTTAAGCATTTGGGGGTAGAAAAATCAATCAAGCATTTATAAATGAACAGAAACAATGTAAGTAAAATTAATTTACGGTTTCTCCTCACATCTCGCTTTCAATGCCATCTAGATTGTTAATATGAAATTGTTGAAATTAATAAATATGACTATTCTGATGAGTTAATCTAAAGATTTATATACTCAGATCCAACAGGAGGTGAATTCAACATTTTTTTCTGGAATCGACTCCCAAAATCTCATGCTGCCTGAACATTTAAAATATAGTTTTTCATAATGTCACCATTGGGATTTATAGAAATTACAATTTACAGTTTGAGAATGCTTAAGAGGGTGAGCGGACGGAGGGAAAATAAAATCCACTCAAATTAATTAACGGAAGTAATGGATGTACGTACATTCAGGGGCAAATCTACATAGGGACTAATAGGGTTAAAGAACTGGGCCCTCAAAAATTATCATAAATTTTTAATACAGTACTTTTTTTGAAAAGTACTGTATTAAAAATTTATGAGCACTTATCGTATAGTAAAACTGGTACTTAACAATTGGTATACTGAATGTAAAGCATAAAACAGATAATTATTTATTTCAAACTTTGCAGTCAATAATTAAAGGAAACTCGCAGGAAGAATTGCAAAATGTTACACGATCGTAGTGTTAGTGGCCAATGTAAATTTTGTTGATCGTCACGGCTGAATAAAAGAGATCAAGAGTGCCTTCGAAGATCACATTAAATCTGGACTTTTACATATAACTAAACCGTTGCTGTTGACTTATCTGCCATTTATTATTTTGCACCAAACTTATATTGATTTGATGGAAAGAGTTCATTGGCGTAACTTTCAGTTTGCATCAGAAGTTCATATATAGTTAATTTAATTGGGCCTCCTCTGTATCTGGTCTCGGATTTCATCTATCTAACTCCGTTCTCAAAACTTAAGATCATTGGGCTGCAATTTGAAAAAATTGCAGCCCAATGATGATCAATTCTCACTGGATCCATGACAGTCTGAAGTATTGGTATGTCACTCCAGGTGATATACCAATAAGGTTCAATCCTAATGACCAAAATGATGGATTAAAAAACGCCCAACATAAATCATGATCACACAGAACACTATTGTAATCATTATCAATTGGATGAAAACAATAGATCCAA